CAGTATTACTATAATGCTATTAAAGAGGGTCATTAGACTGTAATTATTCACCTTAGGTCAGACATTAACTTTGATGTCTAGGAATGAATATTTTCAAGGTAGGCTTTTTCCTAGCTTGTTGTCTGAGTGGGGATCTTAGCATCCACGTCCCAGCTCCTTCTCCCAAATAATCTATATTGATATCATCCCTGTTCTCAGCTGTGAGGCCAGTGACATCTTGGAAGTGAGGCTCTCAAAGCATCAAGTCTACTTGATGTGGCTGGTCACTCCCAAAGCAAATGAGGTCACCAATGGAGCTTTGATATAAAAAATGAAGAAACTTGATATGAGTCTATCCTCCCCTAAATAGAGAAACTCAGAATTGGTAAAAAGATCTATCAGGCATCATTTCTAACCACTGACTCAAAATAGTTTTCACATAATTCAGTCTGCTAGGTTCCAGGATGTAGTTAAGAGTCGTAGAAACCCGGTGAGGATAATTCCAAGAAAACAGACGATCTCATTGACATCCAGTGGACAGATGTTATCATAGCACGGTTATAGAGGGACAGAGGAATGGGAAATAACAGAACCAGGAGGGTACAATCATGCCACCCATCTTCCATTTCCAGTTTTATTTTCTGAAAATGACAAAATGATAAAACTTCTAATAAGCACCATTGAAAAACGTTGCCCGGCCAACTTGGGCACGAGCTTAAATATTATTTAAATAATTCCATTTCTTAAAAAATACAGGACCTTTTAGAAACTTTTGACTCCAGGAAGAAATTTCCTGCATCATATCCAAAATGCTTCCCATCACAACAAATGGAATTTCTGATGGCCTTTAAAAAAAAATGCTATGGGGATAATGGCCATATAGCACCAGGAGATCATGCAGGGTCTACAAAGTGAACATTCCAGATTTCAGGGGAGCTGGATCAGTCCCAGCTATTTTGTGTAACTTTGCATTCTGTCGGTCACCAATTTGACTATGCAGAGTGATCCCATTTGACCAGCTGTGTGTAAAATAACCCAATCTGCAAAGCCAAAGCCAGTAGCAGCAAGTCTATCTGATGAAACCAGTGGAGCAGACTTATCAAGTGAGTATAATGCCAAAACCAGCACATAATGCATGAAGTAAATTATGTGTGGAAAGGATCAATGTTCAACTGTGAAAAACTAAGACAAACGACACTGAATACAACTCTGCGGGATGTTCTTAATGCCCTTAGGTCCACTTTTCTGCCATTTCCCCCAACGGTGGACTCAAGCATGAAAAATGACAGATGCAAGAGCTTTCTCTTTGATTTTGACCTATGTCTGCTCTTGTGATGTTTTCAAAAGGTATTTTTAGGCGTCTCAAAGGGGAAACAAGCAAGTAAATGCAAAGGGGAAAAAAATGGACCTTCAAAACCAGGGCAGGAAATCAAATCATTACTTTAACGTCAAATTTTGGCATCAAATGCTTTGGTCATACAATACTGTCTCTGTGGTTCTGGCTGTTTAGCACTAAACACCCAGTTATAAAAGGTAGGCTTGTTGTAGGTTTATTTTTTTTTTTTTCCATTTAAGTTCTGACAAAACAGTTCACCATCTCCCTGCACAAATTTGAGAGAGAGAGAAAAAGAGAGCAAAAAAGAGAGAGGTGGCTTGCTTTTTTTTTTTTTTTTGCTTTTTTTTTTTTCTTTTTATAATAATATGGAGTAATCTATAAGTCTACAGGAACAGAGAAATCTAAGATGGCCGCTCAGCCTTGGAATGTACATGTTTTGCAGCAAAGTTGTTGAAGAACCTTCCTCTGGCACAGATTGTTCTTTTTCACTAGCATACAGAAGCCTCCTTCCGCCCAGGACTCTTCCGTTGCTTTTCCAGGAAGTCAGCAAGACAGAGGGGGAGTTGAGGACGAGAGCAGCATGATGTACACGCGGAAGAAGGTTTTGATTGGCCAGAGAGGCAGATGGGGGGATTGGAAGAGCTCAATGAGGAGCAGTCAACAAGGAGGAATTTGGGTCCAGCCAAAGGGATTTCAGTCAACAGCATTGTTTTTTTCAAGGAGAGAGATTGCGGTCCAGTGGTGAATGGGATTGATGTCCATTTATGAAAGGGAAAAAAAGGATTCGAAAAAAGAATTAGAAATCAATAATAATATAAGCAAGGAATTTGTCTTCTCAGAATTACCTAGAGCAGAGAGTATATAGTCATTTATACTATATTTCATTGAGTCCAAGACACTGGATTTAAGATGCACCATTATTTTAAGTATTAAGAAAAAACATGCTTCATGCGTCTTATTACATGGTGACCCAGGAGTCTCCTTAATTAGAATATTAATTTTATGCTTATTTGGAAATAGTAGTTAAATATTAGTTCTATAACAGGCTGTTTTGTTTCTGTGCTTATACAAAAACTCTTCCTTTGAATATTAAACAATTAGCTTTTGCAGCCATTTCAAACTACAGTTAAATTCAACACAGGAAGTGGTAACCATGTGTCCAACTCTGTGACAAAGTCACAGGCAATGACAGCTCTGTCGCATCAACCTATTGGACAGAAGTGGTTGTAAGCTGCCATAAATTATAAGATGCATCTGACTCCAGGGATGTTAAAATGTAAAAAAAGTATGTCTTAGAATCATTGAAATATGACAGTTGAAAGAATAAATCACACACCCATAAATGCAATCAATATGTGATGTGAAAAGCCTGGTGGAGCCATCAGTGATCTTATTATTTAGCTGACCTAAGGTGGGCTCATTACAAATCACGATTCTTCATTTTCTACTCTTGCCCACAATTCGGGACACCCCATTTCTACCAAAGTGTGCCATCTGGCGTAACTTATCCCAAGTTTACCATGGTTTAGAGAAGGCAGTTAAAGCATCACAAACATGGCCATGCCTGGCACCAAGTGCTGTTGGGTGAAATTTCAAGTGACTGTGGATCTTCTGAGTCTAGAAAATCTTCCTCTGTTTCCTGTCACCAGCTTAAAAATTATGGTCAGATCCAGCTATGGGGGAACCATGTTTTTAAGTAGAAAGTGATACTTACATGGTCCCTGGAGTGCCATCACCCCAACCCTCTATACCCGTGTTGTGTGGTGAGAACACAGAGCCTGAGTGGGTCTGGCACATCCTTGCTAAACCAATCCTACAGCCAAGTAGCCATGAAGATGCAAAGTCACCTATGATGCTCTGTGGAAATGAGACCATAGATGATGCTCTACACATGTCATCATGTGCCCTGTTCTTTCAGATGTCTTTTTGAAATTCCTCATAGGAAGTTTTAGAATAACCATACAAGGTCAATGGTATTAGCCTCCTCATTTTTACAGATGAGGGAAGTGAGACCCAGAGAAGTTTATCACCTGCCCAAGACCTGGAGCCCAGCAAGGAACAACAGTATTCTGATTCCTGAATCCATATTCTCACAACCAAAGCACTGTTCTACCTCTTGTGAAATTTCTAGGAGAGGGCCCATTCCAAGGAAGGCAGAGAATAAACCAAAGGAAGTCCCTTGTCCAGGAAGACTGTTCCAAGTGCACTTTTTTATTATTCTATTTTCATAACAGTCCAAAGATATTTAAAAATAACAATGGTTCGAAATGATTTCTTTCTAGGTCACTGAGATGCATGTCTGCATAAAGTTTAGGCTCAAATTTTAGGGCTCCCTCTGTGTGAATTATACCGAGAGTCAAAATTCACAACGTGTTAAAGTTGGAATAATTTAATTTCATTCATTTATAAATGGGGAAGCTGAGGCTAGAAAACTGGGAGAACTTGGCATTTGCCAAGTTGTCAGGAGGAATGGAGTAAGGCAGAGATTCCCAAATCTGGATGCACATTAGAAACACTTGAGAAGTTTCTAAAAATATCCATGCTTAGATAGCACCCCAAGACCAATTTACCATGAATCTTTGGAGAAAGTGTGCGGTCCTGGCATTTTGGTTGAGAACCATGTGTGCGAAGAAAAGAAAAATGGACCAACATTTAGTAGTCGTAAGTTCTACACTTAGGTCTATCGTTAATTCCTTGCCTCTCAGGTTTAATGAAAGATTCAGATAGCATCTGATTACAATTTACTTACCAAAAATTTAAATAATCTAAATAAAACAAGTGGCAATAAACTGGCATCTTCACATGATAGAATTTTATGCTGTAATTAAAAATGAAGTTTCTGAGGACTTTGTAAACATAGGATGATGTTTATGTCTAATGTTTAGTACAAAAAGCAGGATACAAACCTCCATGTACATGGTATTTAAAAAATCTGGGCAAAAGTACAGACGGCAAAAGATGGGAAAGAAACACATGAAAAAACTAACTGGAAAAGGTTGCCTATTCTATTCCAAGTATATGACGTTCTGGAAAAGGTAAATCTATGAAGACAAAAAAAATTAGTAGGTTCTGTGGCTAGGGGGGAGGGAGGGAGGAAGGGAAGAGCACAGAGGATTTTTAGGGCAGTGAAAGTGTCCTGTATGATTATTACAATGGTGGATACGTATCCCCATTCATTCATTCATTCATTCATTCAAACTCCTAGAATGTATACCACCAAGAGGGAACCCTAATGTGAACCATGGGTTTGGGTGATAATGGTGTGTCAGTGAAGGTTCGCTGATTATAACAAATGTAACTAGTCTGGTGTAGGAGGCTAATTGGCAGGGGGGGAGGGGTGTGTGTGTGTGTTTTGCTGGGCGGCAGTTGGCATATATAGGATCTCTCTGTACTTTCTGCTTAATTTTGCTGTGAACCCAAAACTCTAAAGTTTAAAAAAACATAACTGGTGCCATCTCGGTCAATGGAACCATAGGTGGTTTACTTCTTCTTTTAACTTAAAAAAAAAAAATAAACCCAAACCAAAACCCATTGAGGGTGTGAGTTCAAGATGAATGAATGCCAACGAGATATTGGGCATGTTCTATCTGACTCAGGCTTGATAGTTTATGTGGAAATATATTTGATCTCAACATAAAAAGAGGACCCTGTGTTCAGAGGATCAAAATGAAGAGTTTGTACTCACCGTCCTTGCAGATGGCGCCCATCTGACACGTCCCTAAGTCTAAGAGATAGCCGCTGAGGCAGCTCGTGCAGTTCTTGAACCCCGGACCATTGCATGTCAAACAGGTAGCATCACATCTATGGGGAAAATGTACAGTTCATGCTTTCACACATCAGGCGCAAGAAAAGATGTTTGCTATCAGCCTCTTAAGGACGTTTGAAACTTAATTCCCCCTTTGAAGACGACACAGAAAACTCTTCTTACCATAATTGCTACCTTTAACAGCATTAAAGAAAGCCCAGCGGGTAGACTGATTTTAAATGGGAGAACGCATTGTACTTGAAACTGAAATACTACTTTCAAGGTTTTCAAGTGCTCCTGAGACAAAAACAAAAAAGTATTCAAGAGAAGTTGGGTGAAAGCAGCAGGGCAGGTTTCTGTTTTCAGCTTTCTGATTTGGAAACGTAGGTCATCATTAATAATTGTTTTGTTTTATGGAGGCAGTCAAATAAGGAAGCCAGTGATCACGAGCTACGGCTGGAGGGGCGGATCCACTTACTTTTTGCAGGATTTGTATCCGTTCTCTGAAGAGTGGTCAAAGTAGTAGCTGAGACTGCAGCTCTGCACGCATCTCCCATCCTCCATGAAGTAGCCTTCCGTGCAGTTAATACACCCGTCAGCGCCCGGCCCTGAAAGCAAGGCAAATGCGGGAAACAGAAACAAAATCTCAGAAGAGCTTGCACGATGGGCTGCTTCTTGCGTAGTTGGTGAAAAGGGCATGAATAGGTTGTCATGTTAAGAGTCACAATTTCATATTTGTGCTTTCTCTTACGTTCTGTGGGGAAAAAAAACCGCCCCCATTTTAAATTGAACCCATTTGCCAAAACCATCACATCTCTTTGGAAAGAGGAGGGGATCTCATTGGGATGTTTCAGTGTCGCCATAGGGACAAGAATGCCCATGGCTGACTTTCTCTGAGAATCCATACAGGAGTGCGGGAAGAGAATGAGGTTTCTCCAGCATTTACTTTAACCATCTCCGGGGTGTCTGGAGGAGTGATGGCTAACCACAAGTCAACAACCAGCAAACCAGAGCCAGAGAATAGACAGTAGGACTGGGGGACAAGGTACCAGCGCAGGTGGCACAGAAGCGGTGACAGGGCTGACAGTCCTGGCCATTGAAGTACTGCCCGTCCTCACAGGTGATGGAGCAGCGGGATCCCTGCAGGCTGAAGACAGAAACACAGATGCCGTGATCAAGGCAAAGAGGTCATAGCTCCCCAGCTCCATATGCAACAAATAGAGCGTCTCCCAGAGACCCGTGGTTTGGCAAAGCTTCAAAGCGGGGGGAAATCGTCCCGTACCCCTTCTTTTTTCCTTCCCCGATGCCTATCCTGCTTCTCTGCCCCTATGATCATGTCTGTAGCCGTATGCGTGCTGCAAGCTTCGTGGACCTTCTTCGCTCTGCACCTTACCCACCCAGGTGTTCCTGAAAGTATCTTACTGACAAAACTCATGACCTAACAGTACGTCTGACAACTCTGATAACCAGCCCTACGACATAATAAATTTAAGAGTTGTTTTGTAATTATAAAATGTAGTAGGAACACAGGGTAACGAGTTACAACTGAATAAAGGGCACGGTCATCTCTGGCCCGCCCACACTCCCAGGAGTACGTTCTTTTGTTCTTATTTCTGGTTTTAGTTCTACTGGTTCCCATCAGAACCACACAGTTGCCTCTATTTCCTGATTTATTTTAAATGCTAATGAATAATTTCATAAAATGACCTGCCTATACAGCTGATTCCCCAAACACCCCAACTTTTCTTAATCATATGATTGTTTCCAGGTGTTCTCTCTACCATACTTTCTCTATTTGGCACTCTTGGTATCAATTATAGTTGCCAGAATGTTGAATGAGGAATGCATATTTTTTCTTTTTTTTTTTTTTAAGAGATTATATATATATAAGAGAGAGAGAGAGAGAGCGAGAGCAGGAACACAAGCAGGGGGAGTGGGAGAGGGAGAAGCAGGCTTCCCGCTGAGCAGGGAGCCCGATGTGGGGCTCGATCCCAGGACCCTGGGATCATGACCTGAGCCGAAGGCAGACGTTTAATGACTGAGCCACCCAGGCGCCCTCTCCTTTCTAATATCTATCAATTATGATAGCTTTCATAGTGTATAAAACAATTCTTAAAATTAAAAACCCACAGAATTTAGGACCTTTAATCTACAAATACTGCTCACTATTGGAACAATAGATTAGCACCTGTAATCCTATGTCACCAAGTAGAAGATACTACAAGATGGGTCTCTAAGCAACAGGGTCAAATGGTTTTTATTCTCTTAGACTCTTTATATTGCTCCAAGTCACATCTTAGTTGACTGTGCTTTGTATTTGATCACACTAACTTGGAAAAGTAAAATTTATTTTTCCCTATTGGAAAGAACAAAAACAGATAAAAACGGATCCCAAACAGTCCTGTTAACGTTGTAATCCACTTCCTTCCAGTATTTTACGTGTATGTATTTCTCTTGTTCTTAGCCACTCTTTAAAAATGTATAGGTCTCTTGAGGCAAACTGGTCAACCCTCAAAGCCTCTAAGGAAAAGGTAAGCAGTCTCAAGGAGACAGAAGGCAGCTTAACTGAAGGTGTATTCCATTCACAGACTTGAGTGGCCAGGGAGTGATGTCATTTAAAAAGCCAATAAAAGAAAATCCCTTCCCTTTCCTTAGAACTGGAAAAAAGGACATTGCATCAAATGGATCCTTTTGTGGGAGGAAAGTTTTTTGGTGGTCCTATTATCAGAGTTAAAATAAAAGAAACTGCCTCATTTTTCTAGTACAGGGCATTCCTTCTGAGGTGGGCATGTGTTGAGCATGAGACCGAGGCTGCGCTGTGTGAGGAGGCAATGAATGTAAGTGGGTCGTGCAACAGGGAGCAGGCACTGTGTACACCCTGAAGCCTTCTGCTGCTTCCAAAATAGAGTGGTGGCGTGGCTAACACCTGGTATGGTGGACACCTGGATTCTGTCTGTGATCAGTTGGCTGGGTTGGAACTGTGCTGTCCCACATAGTTCAGCACCCGTGGCTCCCGAGCACTTAAAATGTGGTTAGTGTGGCCCAGGAATGGAATTTTAAACTTTAGTTTGAACTTCAGTCTAAATTTTACAAATTGGCCCTTGGTTCAGTTACTGGCAAAATGCTGAGTAAGTTTAGAACCAACCTGGCTATATAAAATCTACTTCGACTAAATTTTGTAAAATGCAAGTACAGATCAAGTATTTCTCATAAAAGCTTACTGTCCAAGTTGAGATGTGCAATGTGCTTTCTGGGCTAAAATGTACACCAGATTTCGAAGACTTGGTGTAACAACAACAAAGAATGTAAAACATCTCGCTAGGTCTTTTATATTGATTATATTTTGAAATGAAAATATTTTGGATATATTTGGTTAATATTTTTTTAAATTCTACCCATATCTTTTTACTTTCTTTAATGTGGCTACTGGCATGTTTAAAATAAAATGAACATATAGGACTCTCATATTTCTTTTGGAGAGTGCTGGTTAACGTACTCTGTGAAATGTTCCCTAAGAAACACAGTTGACTTAACTCTTCAACAACATGGGTTTGAACTGCATGAGCCCACTTCTAAGTGGATTTTTTTCGATAAATAAAATACAGTACTCTAAATGTATTTTCTTTATACTTTTCCTAACATTTTCTCTTCTCTAGGTTTACTTTATTGTAAGAATACAGTATAGAATACATATAACACAAAATGTGTTAATTGACTGTTATTTGTAAGATTTCCGGTCAACAGTAGTAATTGGTAGTTACATAGTTAAGAGTAACTTACGGAGTTAAAAGTTATATGCGATTTTCAACTGTATGAGGTTGCGGCCCCTAATCCCTGAGTTGTGCAAGGGTCAATTGTATAGAAAATATCGTAAATAATCTTTTATTTCTCATGGACAAATTGTGTGTCTGATATTGGAATAAGTACTTTCTAAATGTTATCACAGTTGATCCTTTTCATAATTCAGCAATGTAGGGGTTATTATCTCATTGTATAGATGACAAAACTGAAGTTCAGAGTGGCTCAGTGACTTGACCAGGATCCCACAGCTGATTAATAGAAGAGGGTTTGAGCCCACATCTATCTTGTCTCCCTTCTTTTTATTATCCCAATCTGCTCCTTGTCCAAAAAGAATGAGGGGGCTGACTAGACTGATATTTATCAAGACTGGAAGTCTGGAGATGGAGGGTGCTTAAGCAAATTCATAGTGAATGCATTTATGAAAAAAACCCACAGATAAAAAAATATATTAGAACATCATTTTCATTTATTATTTTTTTTAAAGATTTTACCCATTTATTTGACAGAGAGAGACACAGCAAGAGAGGGAACACAAGCAGGGGGAGTGGGAGAGGGAGAAGCAGGCTTCCCACGGAGCAGGGAGCCCGATGCGGGGCTCGATCCCAGGATCCCAGGACTCTGGGATCGTGACCTGAGCCGAAGGCAGACGCTTAACGACTGAGCCACCCAGGCGCCCCAGAACATCATTTTCATTTAGATTAAGATTTTATTTATTTGAGACAGAGAGAGAGAGAGCAAGAAAGTGAGCATGAGTGGGGGGAGGGGCAGAGGGAGAGGGAGAAGCAGACTCCCCTGGCTCAATCCCAGGACCCCGAGGTCATGACCTGAGCTGAAGGCAGATGCTTAGTTGACTGAGCCACCCATGTGCTCCGATGTTCTGATATTAATTAATATGAAGAATCACCTGCCTGGAGCCTGTTGAGTTCACTTCTCCAATTAAAGGTGGAAACAGAGGTGTTCTCAATACTTAAAAAGATTTGAGTGCTGCAGATTTGTGGCTCTCTGTAAACTCAGGGTCCAACTCCTTACCCAACGGAGGATGGTCTGACCTTCTCTGTGGATATCAGAAGGCTACCTAGTTCATTTGAGCTGTGTCTTGTTCTTTTGCAGAATCTATCAGCTATCTGGCTTTAGCAATGAGCAAGTCATCCAGTCAAGAAAAACATCTCCAGGTGTTAAATCTATGAGCATACCAGAGCATAATGGAACCAAGCCTGAGGTACTTAAGATAAGAGAATGACTGGCTATATGGAGAGAAATAATAACGATAAGGGAAGAGTTTCCGACCATCAAAGGAATGAATCAGGAGGAATAAATATAATTCATTGGTATTACCTACACAGTAATCCTTGACAGGGGCACTGCGCTGGTCAAAAAGCACTGAGAAAGCTTCTCAAATAGCCATTTTTATTTACGTGTATCAGGGCCATCTTTTCTGAAGAGAATTTCATTTGGTTTATAAGTCTCCCTTAGCCAAGATGGCATTCAATTTTTCACATACAATGGTAAAGATAATGCAAACAGCAATCAAGTGTTTGGGAGTCAAATCAAGGGTGATGGTAAGAAGATTATTTATTTACATATTTTATTTATATTGAGACGCTCCTTGGGCTGTGTGACTTGAAAAGATCCTTCACTCTCTTACCTTAACCCATCCCTACATTCTGTACAGTTGTGGAATTCAGTACATGTCTTGCAGTTTTCACTGCATTTCCGGCAAAGACTTTTCTCTGTTAAAAAACAAACAAACAAATGTAACAAGGTTATAAATCAGTTGGTCAGTTGGATTCCATAAAATGTGGAGACATTCTAACGTTTGCTAATGTACACGATAGTACACATACATGGCCTTGAGTAGACTATTTCGTGAACAGCCCCGTATCAAACATTTGCTATCACTTTTCAGCAAAGTAAACAGCGGTAGGAACCTGCAGTGATGGGAAATGCCTGATATCTACCATTTTGCAGACAAGGGAACCACAGCCCATTTAACTCTTAGTCGAATAGCTGATTGGCTCTTTCCCCTCTTCTTTTTCTCTCTCCCAAGGGGGGTTATCTAACTTCCGACAATGACAATCCCACTAACGAAGATGCTGGGGCAACGCCCGGATGTAAGGGCGTAAGCAGTGCTTGGGGCTGTGGAATGGAAAGGTGGGCCCCCACGCTCACTCTGATGAATGCGGCCAGAAAAGGGAATCTGCATTTATGATGGCAGGGTAAGGGTTGATGATGTGTTTCTTGTATTGTCTAGAATAGTGTCGCATACTTTACAGTGGCTGTGACATTGATATGTTATTATAGTTTAGATATGTCTGTATTCTGGAGAGTAGAAATATATGGATTAAAACAAATATACCATGAATATGGTTTTCCTGTTTAATACCAAAGACTGATCCCCATTGGAAAAAAATGGCAAATGCATGCTTACTCTATAGTGAAAAACGGTGATTTGTTACATTAACTTAAGGCCTTTTACCTGAGGCAAAAGTCTTCTGGAGACTCGATACCTTCTCTGAGATGCAACTGGATTATAACCATATATATGTGTAGGATTGAATAAGCTTTGTTCATAGGCTTCTTTTCCTCCATCTACTCTTTAAATTTTGGTGTTCTTCAAGGTTCCATAGAGGAACACTGCTTTAATGGATTCCTATAGGGACCTCTTGAAGGTCCACTTCCTTTCTCAAGTCTGAGCACCACCCCCCACCATGAAATATGAAGTCCTTTATAATCTTATGGCAGTCTTCACATGGTCCCCTCCTCACTCTGCCGTTGAGACTCCTGGACATGCCATAGGATCTGAAGTCCAAGGAGCTAGATTTGAATTCTGCTTTTAGCATTTCCAGTGGGCAAGTTCAGGGTCTCTGTTCTCCGTTCAATAGATATTTCAGTGATGCCAACCTCTCAGTTTGTCTTGAGGGGATAGGTTTCCCTTGAGGGGAACTATATGAGCTTGAAAGCACTGTAAATGTGTCAGCAGTAATTATTACTAGTCATGATTATATCTGATCACTATGTTTTCAGGAGGAAGATATAACAAAAGTCAGTTACATGAAGGAGAGAGAGGCAGAGACCACTCATATCAGCAAAGCCATTGTTTGAACAGCCTGCCTTCCCTACATACCTCCCAGGCTCTGGGGAAACAACTGAGTCTCAATTATCTTGATCCTGTTATATACCATCTCGAACCAAATTTCTTTTCCGAGATCCAGCCTTCTTGATAGAATTTTGAATTTTTTCTTCAAGAAATACTGCTTATTTCTGGGGATCCCTCAGACTCCCCTCCCCCACTCTTATTTTTCCTTTCTCTATCAGGGTGTAGCTCATGTTCCAAATTTGGGAGAAAAAGGGACTACAAGGAAATCCTACCACAGTTCTATAGGGTAAGCTGAGACTCCATCTGCCTCGTGGAGAAATGCCTGCCTTTGAGTCAAGGGACTTGGACTTCTTAAGAAGCAACAGTATCCACTTCAAAATTCTTGCCTGATTTCCGAAAAACAACTCTTGTTCATTTAAACTTGGGTTTTCTTCTTTCTTAGGTTGTGCAGAAACTGGAGATAATCAGTGTCATCATGTATCATGGTGTGACACACTTGTTAATTACCGAGAATTCAGAAATAAAGGAAAAGGGCGCTACCAGAGCACTAACAGGTAGGAATGCCCAAGGATTACTTAATTCTCCAGGGGATGTACCTTTGTCTGTTTCCTAATGACGACTGATTAGGGCCCAAACTCCGCGAAGTGACGTGTTCATTTATAGATTTTTGTTTGGTACAGTTGCAAAGGATTTCTGTGTGGAAAAAGCCCCCCAAATTCAATTTGTATTGCCATGTAGGAAATTATTCATTTCTTAATTGAAGTATACATAACAATGTTATATTAGTTGGAGATATAGAATATATTGATTTAATGATTCTATATATTACTCAGCGTTGACCACAGTAACTGCAGTCCCCATCTGTCACCATGCAATGGTATTACAGTGTTATGGACGATAGTCCCTAGCTGTACTTTTCATCTCTGCTACTTCCTTATTTCATAACTGGAAGTCTGTACCTCCCCTTTATCTTTTTTGCCCATCCCTCCACCCACCTCTGCTCTGGCCACCACCAGTTGTTCTCTGTATTTTAAGAGTCTGTTTATTTTTTGTGTGTTTGTTAGCTTCCACATACAAGTGAAATCCTGTGGTATTTGTCTTTCTCAGTCTGATTTATTTCACTTAGCATAATACCCTATAGCTCCATCCATGTAGGCACAAATGGCAAGATCTCACTCCTTTATATGGCTGGGTAATATTCCACTGTGTGTGTGTGTATGCCACATCTTTTTCTTTTACAAGTTTTTAATTCCAATATAGTTAATATACAATGTTACATTAGTTTCAGGTGTTTAATATAGTGATTCAGCACTTCTTTATATCATCCAGTGCTCATCATGACAAGTGTACTCCTTAATCCCCATCACTGGTTTCACTCACCCTCCCACCTCCGTCCCCTCTGGTAACTATCACTTTGCTCTCTATAGTTAAGAGTCTGCTTCTTGGTTTGTCTCTTTGTCCTTTGATCATTTGTTTTGTTTTTAAATTCCACATGTGAGTGAAATCTTACGGTATTTCTTTGACTGACATTTCACTTAGCATTATATTCTCTAGCTCCATCCATGTTGTTGCAAATGGCAATATTTCATTCTTTTTAATGACTAATACTCCATTGTGTGTGTGTGTGTGTGTGTGTATGATGAATGGATAATCCTTCTTTGTCCATTCATCTATCTATGAACACTTGGGTTTCTTGCATACCTTGGCTATTGTAAATAATGCTGCAATAAACATAGGGGGTGCATATACCTTTTTTTACTTAGGATTTTTGTATTTGGGCAAATATCCAGTAGTGGAATTACTGGATTGTAGGGTATTTCTGATTTTAATTTTTTGAGGAACCTCCATCCTCTTTTCCACCGTGGCTCTAGCAGTTTACATTCCCACTGCAGTGCTTGAGGGTTCTCTTTTTTTTACATCCTCGCCAACACTTGTTATAATTTCTTGTTTCTTGATACTGACTGCTGTCCGTTCTTGATAGCTATTCTAAAATGAGTGAGGGGATATCTCATTGTGGTTTTGATTTGCACTTCCCTGATGATGAGTGATGCTGAACATCTTTTCACATGTCTGTTGGCCATCTGTATGTTTTCTTTGGAAAAATGTCTCTTCAGATCCTCTGCCCATTTTTTTTATTACATTGTATTTTTGGTGTTGAGTTGTATAAGCTCTTTATATATTTTAGATATTAACCCCTTAGCAGATACATCATTTGCAAGTATCTTCTCCTACTCACTAGGTTGCCTTTTTATTTTGTTGGTTTTCTTTACTGTGAAAAAGCTTTTCATTTTGGTCAAGTCCCAATATAGGGTATTTTTGCTGTTGTTTCTTGCGCCTGAAGAGACCTATACATAAATATGTTGCTAAGGGCAATGTTCAAGAGATTACTGCCTATGTTTTCTTTTAGGATTTTTATGGTTTCAGGTCTCACATTTAGGTCTTTAATCCATTTTGAGTTTATTTTTGTGTATGGTTTAAGAAAGTGGTCCAGTTTCATTCTTTTGCATGCAGCTGTCCAGGTTTTCCCAACACCATTTATTGAAGAGATTGTCTTTTCTCCATGGTATTTTACTCTTTTTGGTGCAGTTACAAATGGGATTGTTTTCTTAATTTCTCTTTCTGCTACTTCATTATCAGTGTATAGAAATGCAACAGATTTCTGTATATTAATTTTGTATCCTGAAACTTCACTGAATTAATTTATCAGTTCCAATGGTTTTTTGGTGAAGTCTAGCATTTTCTATGTATAGTATCATGTCATCTGCAAATAGTGACAGTATTACTTTTTCCTTACCAATTTGGATGTCTTTTATTTCTTTTTCTTTTCTGATTGCTGCAGCTAGAATTTCCGATATTATGTTGAATAAAAGTGGTGAGAGTGGACATCCTTGTCTTGTTTTTGTCTTAGAGGAAGAGTTCTCAGTTTTTCTTATTGAGTATGATGTCAGTTGTGGTTCGTCATATATGGCTTTTATTATGGTGAGGTATGTTCCCTTTACCCCACACTGTTGAGAAGTTTTAACATGAATGCATGTTGTATTGTGTTGAATGCTTTTTCTGTATCCATGGAGATGACAGTTTTTTTTATTCTTGTTTATGTGATATCATATAGATTATAGAACCACACTTGCATCTCTGGAATAAATCCCACTTCATCATGCTAAATGATTTTTTTAATGTACATTGAATTGTGTTATTCTTTTGTTAAGGATTTTTGCATCTGTGTTCATCAGAGATATTGGCCTGTAGTTTTCTTTTTACATAATGTCTTTGTCTGGTTCTGGGATCAAGGTAATGGTGGCCTCATAGATGAATTTAGAAGTTTTACTTCCTCTTCTGTTTTTTTAGCATCATTTGAGAATAGGTATTAACTCTTATTTAAATGTTTTGTAGAATTCACCTGTGAATCCATCTGGTCCTTGATTTTTGATGTTGGAAGTTTTTGACTGCTGATTGAATTTCATTACTAGTAATTGGTCTGCTCAGATTTTCTATCTCTTCCTGATTTAGTTTTGGAAAATTGTATGTTTCTGGGAATTTACCCATTTCTTCTAGATTGTCCAATTGTTTGTTGGCAGATAATTTTTCAACATTTTCTTATAATTCTTTGTATTTCTGTGATATTCCTCCTCCTTCATTTCTGACTTTGAGTCTTCTCTCTTTTCTTGTTAAGTCTGGCGAAAGATTTATCAGTTTTGTTTATCTTTCCAAAGAACCAGGTCTCAGTTTCATTGATCTTTTTTTTTTTAATTTCATTTATATCTGCTCTAATCTTTATTATTTCCTTCTACTGGCTTTGGACTTTGTTCTTTTTTTTCTAGTTCCTTTAGGTTCAAGGTTAGGTTCTTTATTCTTTAATATGATATTTTTCTTGGGCGCCTGGGTGGCTCAGTTGGTTAAGCGACTGCCTTCGGCTCAGGTCATGATCCTGGAGTCCCAGGATCGAGACCCGCATCGGGCTCCCTGCTCGGCAGGGAGTCTGCTTCTCCCTCTGACCCTCCTCCCTCTCGTGCTCTCTGTCTCTCATTCTCTCTGTCTCAAATAAATAAATAAATAAAATCTTTAAAAAAAAAATGATATTTTTCTTGTTTCTTGAGGTAGGCCTAATAGCACTATAAATTTCCCTCTTAGAACTGCTTTTGCTGATTCCCAAAGATATTTGTTTCCATGAATTTTTGATTTCATCTTTTTTTTTCACTGACCCATTGGTTAATTAGTAGCATGTTGTTTAACCTCCATGTATTTGGCTTTTTTTTCTTCCATTTTTCTCTTGTAATAGTTTCATACCATTTAAGTTGGGAAATATGCTTGATATGATTTCAATCTTCTTAAATACAGTGAGACTTGTTTTATAGCCTAACATGTATACCAGAGAATGTTTCATGTGCACTTGAAAACAATGTGTATTTCTACCCTGAGTTTTGTTCTTTTCTTCCACTTCCATTTGCATGGTTTATCTTTTTTCATCCTTTCACTTTTAGTCTGTATGTGTCATTATGTGTGAAGTGAGTCTCTTGTAGGCAGCATATAGATGGGTATTATTTTCTTCATTTACCATATGTCTTTTGATTAGAGTATTTATTTAAAGTAATTATTATAGATACTTATTGCCATTTTGTTAATTGTATTCTGGTTGTTTTCGTAGTTCTTCTTGATGCCTTCCTTTTTCTCTTGCTCTCTTCCCTTGTGGGTTGATGGTTTTCCTTAGTGATATGGCTGGATTCCTTTCTTTTTGTGTATATCACAGGTTTCTGATTTGTGGCTACCATTGGGTTCTATATTGAGTTGAGGGTTACTTAAGTTCAACACATTGTAAAACTACTAAAATTAACTCCCACCTCCATGTTTTATGTATGTGATGTTTTATTTTATGTCTCCCTTGGCTAATTTTTCTAAATTTTGATTGTACTACTTTGTGTTTTAAACTCCACAGTGGCTTTACTCTATGCTTGCCTTTTACCTGTAAAATTTTTCTCCTTTTATAATTTTTTTTTTTTCTAGTGAATGGCCTATTCTTTCCCTTCAAAGAATTCCCTTTAACATTTCTTGTAAGTCTGATTTATTGGGATGAACTCCTTTAACTTTTGTCAGGAAAACCTTTCTCTCCTTCTGTTTTGAATGATATACTTTCTGGGTAGAGTATTCTTGGTTGTAGGTTTTTTTGTTTGTTTTAGCACTTTGAATATAGCATGCTACTCCCCTGTGGCCTGCAAAAAATCAGCTGATTGCCTTATTTGGTTTCCCTTTTATCATTACTTTTTTGCCATTTTAATTATTATGTGTCTTGGTGTGGACCTCCATGGGGTCAACTTGTTAGGGGTTCTTCTTCCTGGACCTGGATGTTGCTGCTTTCCCCAGGTTAGGGAAGTTTTCAGCCCCTTCTTCTCCTTCTGGGATCCCTATAATGTGCATGTTATTATGCTTGATGATGCCACAGAGTTCCCTTAACCTATTCTCATTTTTTATTGTTGTTCAGCTGAGTTGTTTTCCATTACTGCCTTCCATATCACTGATCTGTTCTTCTGATTTACTATTGATTCCATTTAGTGTATTTTTATTTCAGTTATTAAATTCATCAGCTCTGACTGGTTCTACATTTTCTCTTTGTTGAAGGTCTCACTGAGATCCTCTGCTCTTTTCTCAAGTCTACTGAGTATCTCAGTGATAATTTCTTTGAATCGTTTATCAATCACACATATTTTCATTTCATTTGGGACATATTCCTCTGTCTCCTCATTTTGTGTCTCTGTGTTTGTTTTTAGTGTAGTAGGACAGTCAGCTATGTCCCCTGGTCTTGAAAGTGCAATCACCCCCTGGTTACCAGAACCAGGCATTCCAGGGGTGTCCTCAGTGAGGGCTGTGTGTGCCTCCCTATCGTGGCTGAGTCACAGCTGCCTTCAGCCCAGCCAGCCGCAACAATCCCCTCTCCCTGCTCTGAGTGTCCTGGGTAGGGTTGAGGGCAGTCTGAAGCAGTGACAGGCTTGGTGAATTGGGCCAGCAGTGAGCCCAGCTGTCTGCAATGAGTCCCTCTGTGTAGATACAGCTACAGGTGCACTGAAGAGCAGGGCTTGCTTCTTGCCCAGCCAGCTATGAGGCTCGACTGCAGGGAGTGCAAGTGTGCTGTTATAGCGTCTTCTCTCCTCGCTCCCCAGGGCATGAGTCACTTTGGAGTGGCACCCTCCAAGTGGGTATGGTCGGACAGGAGCCACTTTGAAGGGAGGACTGCTGAGTTGGGTTGGATGGGGAAGAGCACACAGTGCTATAGCAAAGTAGATGGAGAGTGTTAGGGCTTGGGGCGGGGAGGTGGAAGAGGAATGGCACCTACCAGCACTTTGTTTCTAGAGAAATATCCTGTACATCCCTGCCTGGGGACAGATCTAATCTGCCCAGGACAGATTAGTCAATATATCTCCTTCACATATAACCACAGGCACTTTTCAAACTGCTGCATCTTTAAGGATGATGGAGACTCAGTTTCCTATTGCCCTCAGGCTCTCCTGGAACCTGAAACTAAGCCCCACTGGAGTTAAGATCTCCTTGTTTCTAAAGCCAGATATTAGGCGGACTCAGATCCTCTTGCTTCCCCACGCTTGTGATGTCCCTCCCGTTTGTAGTTAGTGGCACAGGGGTTTGGTTTCCAACTATGTCTCCATCCTACCTACCCTTTTCAAGGTGGCCTTCTCTCTACAATTAACTGTGGCAGGTCTGTTCTGCCAGTCTTCAGGTGGTTTATCTCAATGTGTCTGAGGGAGAAGGTGAGTTTAGGATCCTCCTGCTCTAAACTCGGCAAATGGATTTCATTTTGCCTTTCCTAGTGGACTGGAATACCTGATAGTCTTTGAATCCATTTATCACTTTATAGGTTTCCTCATTAATGGCCCTTCATTAGTAGTCTTTGACACATGTCTATTTCATATTCACATCAAAGTCATGTTTTCTAAACTTTCTGAAAAGTTAACACTGATACCATACAGGCCTGGTTCCTTTGGGTAGTGTGTAGAAAAGAGCAGGCTTGGCTGCTATCTTTTGAAAGCCTGCTTCTGAAGCTGGTCCATGGCTAAGTATCTGGGAATTGGATTTCAGGAGGGTTTCCACCACCCTAACTGGTAAGAGTGGCTCATGGTGCCTCAACTGTACAAACAAGATGGTTTATGCTGAACATCTGCTTTCCTTGTAGGAGCCTGGAATTTTGGTATGTGCCAGGTAGGGGGGTCTTCGTGACCACAACCCTGGGCACTGAGACTCTAAGGTGGTTCCCTGGTAGCCTACATTTCACACATGTTGTAACCAGTTGTTGCTGGGGGATTTCAATGCATCCTGGGAGAAAACTTAGAAGCTAGTGCTGGTTTCCTGTGGACTTTGTGTCCTATGTACCTTTTCCTGATTTTACTTAATAACTATGAGCTCATGAGTGCAACTATCTAGTAAGTCCTCCTAGGAAATCACTGAATCTGGGGATGGGCCTGAGGACTCCCTGACAGTTAGTTACAAGCATTTTTACATAACTGATTTTTTTTTTTTTTTTACAAAAATTGTTAAAATTATAATGTGTTCTCTTAAAAACTGGTTAGATCCTTTGATATAACCAAGGCCTCAATCCCTCCTAATGTCATTCAAATGAAAACCTTCTATTTCCTCTCTAAAACCCAAATATTTGAAATCAACTCACTGGTGTCCGGGTATAATCCAGCAGGGCAGTGGATAACACAGCTGTTGATTTCTTCATTTAGGAAGTATCCATATTTACAGGACAGGCACTGGTCACCATGGCTCCCAAAGCAGGACTCACAGTTGGGAGCACACTTTCTGCATCGCTTCTTGTCAGCATGGTAGTGGCCAGAGGGGCAGCTGGAGACACAGATCCTGCATTGTGGAATGGTAAGAAAGAAGGGCAGCATCATTGGAGACAGAGTCCCAGGCACTCTTGGAGATGCTCAAGCAAGAGCAGCCTTCCATCTTAAACCACGATGGTAACACCATATCCAAAGAGCCAAATTCTGTTGGTTGAAGCTTTTTCCTGTGTAGGGTTCTGAAGTGGCAAGGTGGCCACCCAATACCAAGTCTGCCAGGTAACGCATGTCTTGGTCCAAACCCCCTCTTCCGGTTCGGGACTAGCTCTTTAAAGGGGACGATGGTTAGAAACTAGAGGCTCAAGAGGAAAGGTTGTGGCATGGGATTGAAAGGAAACTATGTGGGAACCACGATTTTATACAAAAAAGGTTGCTAATAAGGGGTTACTTCTGTTTTTGTGTGTTGTCCTATGGATCCTGTGCACTCTATTGTCTAAGTCAATTGATTTAAACTTGGTTGGTTATGATACATTTTTGGTTATGATACATTTAAAAAAAAGAACTTCCTTAACTCAAGGACAGCACTTTGTTTATTCATTCAACAAATATTTACTACTGAATACCAAGTAAAATGTCAGGCATTTTGCTGGTCTCAGCGATGAGAGGTCCTGCAGTAGCCAAGCGCCCTTCCTTTAAGGAACAGAAATTCCAGCATGCATGTAAACAGGAACTAGAACGGGTCTGGGTCTGTCTGGATGGCTGAAGTGTGGACTCACTGTAGTTAAGTCTTCCCTGAAGCAGGACGGAAAAGGGGGCAGGGCTCTGAGAGAGATGCCTGGAGCGGACAGCCTCTGAGAGGCCATCACTGTCCCAGGAGCCTCCCTGCGGACAGATCAGCACAACTTGAGCCAGGGGCTCAGAGTTACGGTGACCAAGCAGGTCCGCCTCAGTGCCCAGAGTGAAATAGGGTGAGCAGGGCCCAGCACCTTTACCACACGGGGACACATCTGTTGGGCTGGATGCTGGCATTTTCATGAAAAGCAAACAGAGCTCTAGAGGGCTAGTCCAAATGTGAGCAAAGACATTTGCAGCTTGACAGCATACAGGGACACTTAGTATGGGTTTCAGCATTTGGAATGACACCGGGAGGCGGGGGCTGGGGCAGCAGCCTCTGTCCTGTGCTTGGGTCCTGGGAGGAGAACATCAGCAGACTCGGCTCGAGCGCAGCCCATGGGACCACCCGGAGCGTGCTGTGTGTGTGTGTGTGTTGGGGGGGGGGGCAGGAGCGCGGGGGGATCGGACTCAGGATCGTTCTTACCTGGTGTTGTTTTTCAGCTTGTAGTAGTAGTTTAAGCAGTCACTGCAGTGGTCTGGTCCTGGCCCGTCACAGCCGACCTCACTGCACTCAGGGTCACAGGGACCTTTTCCAAAAAAAAAAAAAAAAAATTAAAACAATACTTGGGAAAATATGATTTTAAAGCAGGTCTGTTTTACCTTGAATTTTTCCTCCCTCACGCAGGGAGAGTTTAAGGTGGAGGAATAATGTGTAACATGGCTCTAAGCACGGAGATGAACTCCTATTACCGAAGTATCAAGAATGTAAATCCAGCCGTGGCCTGGTCTTCAAAAAAGCACATATGGCTGCCTTGTGGGAGATAACACATATCTCCGAATTCAAAGGATGCCACTATGGCAACTGGAAGAGAACTGACGGCAATTAAATATGCGTAATGATAAAAACGTCGGATTTACAGAAAAATGACAAGTTAAGCTGTTGACAGAAAAAGTTGATTATTCCACGCCTGGACCAGATTGGCTGGCTTGCCGACGGTCATTAAAACCACGGAATATCTCTGAGATGCTGTACCCAGCAAGAAACATCATAATGGCATCTGGGGCAAGCTTATCAGTATCTGGTCTTGGATTACAAAGCAGGTACCTAAGGCATAGATAAGATATTTTTTTTTAAATGAAATTAAATTTGTTAGTCACCATACATCATTAGTTTTTTGATGTACTGATCCACGTGGTAGGACACAATTTTAAAATCTATTATCTGTGGATCGCTACAGATAATAGATTTTAAAATTGTGTCCTACCCACAGGCCAGTGGGCAACTCAACGAGACATAAATTTTTAAAAATGCAAGCAAGCTTAAAGAATTCCACACCTAGGATGAAAGTTGCTAATCTCTCATGACCTATTCTTTGGTCTAGAGTAAGAATGCACAGACAGGAAGAAAAAATGCCAGAAAGATGGGAGATTTTTATAACTGATAAAAAGCTTTCTAATGACATGGGCTAGACCTTTTACTTGCTTGAACTAACTCCTTTTTTCCTTGTTCTCCATACGTTAGGACATTTGGTCTTGTAATCTTCAAGCCCTTTCCTGTTGAAAATACACATGATTTTAAGTAGCAATAAACATGCACAGAATGTACAAACATTAAAAGTTATGTCAGAAATGTCTGAACCATACTGATTTTACTGTTGAACCTTGATCTCCTTTAGTCATTATAGGATTCTGTTCTACAGGTACTGAGTCGGAATATAAAATGGTAGAACCTGGGAGGAATGACTTAGAGAAAAATCTAGTATTCAAACACCCTCATTTACCTGGTGAGAAAACATACTTTCCAAGAATTAGAGTGGCTTGTCCAGATAATACAGCCCAGGAGCCCTGGGATCAACATGGGTCCCCCTTCTTACTCCAGCTCTCCTACATCGAAGTAGTAAATCAGGTACTAGTGATGACCTTTCAAAATGAATGCAGACTTGAGATCTATTTCTGATTAATCACAAGAGTCATCTGACAGCACTGTTTATCTCTTTGTTCCCACAAGCCTTAAAACTGATCTCTAAATTGCACAGCGAGTATAACTTGGGACCTTTCAGCTCTCTGCTACGATAGAGAAGGAGAGGGTGTCTCTGTACGTAAGGGCTGGAGCTCAGCCAGCTGTGGGTCCTACAGCCCCTGGAATTTGATCAAACAGTACTAGGGATCTGTTTATGATAATACCATCTGTGCCTTTAGCCAGGCTGACTTCTTCATGAAGGTGAAAATCACAGCTCTGAAGAAAAGGAATCATGGGTGGCCCTAAATTTTCACCAGATGATTTCTGCAATTATTCCACCCGCAAAATTATGCTTTATATGTGCCCAAGGGCTCCGTATGGCCAGTTCACATGCTGTGCTGTATCTTAACCTGTCCCAGATGCAGTTTAGCATTTTAGGTTGCAGGGTAATAATGAAATAATTGTCTTTGTTCTCTCTCAAGTGCCAATGTGGACATTTTGGAGATGTTAACAACGAGGAAAACCAGAGAGATAGAGAACCGTTTGTTCAGAATTTTAAGATTACCAGAATGTGAATTAGAAACCTACCAGAAGGCATATGGCAACAGGTTATTAAGCTCAGTTTATGTTTTTGGATATCCTTTCTCCTATCAGCGAAGATGAAACGGTTTGCTTGTTATAATGTGAATAGTAATGTTACAAGCTCAAAACATAATCTAATACAATCAAGCTCCAGTTAGCTCAACTGGTTTGAATTATTCCAGCTTAGGATGGACTCTGGGATACTACCTGTTTAGAATAAAAGGAACCATGTGCATGTTTAGGATATTCTGCTAAGGTGACTAATGAAGTACTTTTAGCTCATTAAGTGGTAGTCAATGCAACAAGACATGTACTACATGGAGCACTGGGTGTTATACAAAAACAAAGAATTGTGGATCACTACATCAAAAACTAATGACGTACTGTATGGTGACTAACATAATAAAATCAGAGGGGTGTTTGGGTGGCTCAGTCGGTTAAGTGTTGGCCTTTGGCTGAGGTCATGATCTCATGGGTCCTGGGACCGAGCCCCATGTGGGGCTCCCTGCTCAGCAGGGAGTCTGGTTCTCCCTCTCTCAAATACATAAAATCTTAAAAAAATCAGAAATATACTTTGATATGGCTATAAGACCTAAACTACCCCAGAAAAGAAAGTTGAGCAGAATGGCCTGATAAAAGATAAATATGCAACAGCCAATAGATTTCCTAGATACCAGCAGATACTAGTTAGAAAATATGACATCTTTTCCATTATATAGCAACAAGACCCCAAAACACATAGGAATAACACTACGAAGAAGAATACAACCTAAAATTAAAAGATTTCAGTAAAATGGGACATAGTCTATGTTTTGGATGGAAAGACTGCACGCATTTTATAACAGCAATTCTTACCTAAACAATTCTTCCCATGAGATTGGCATGTAAATTCACATTAAATTCCAATGGGATCTTTACAGGTAGACTTAAGAATTGCTATGAAAACAAGATGTTTAACAGAGAGTAAAATATAGTGTGGGTGTTACCGGATTAAGAATTATTAAATTAAAAAATGAGAAAAGGGGGTACCAGAAGAGACCCTGGTGTAAAAATTTATTCTATTGTTATAAAGGAAAGATCCTGGGGCACCTGGGTGGCTCAGTTGGTTAAGCGTCTGCCTTCAGCTCAGGTCATGATCTCAGGGTCCTGGGATCGAGCCTGGCATCTCCCTCTCCAATAAATATTTAAAAATGAAGGGAAGATCCTAAACTAGTAAAAGGGAAAATGACCCAGCCAATAATGTTAGTCTATTTATTTTATCTCCTACTATATATCATAAGCCAAAATAAGTTCCAGATGAATGGCCAAATGTAAAAAGCAGAGATTAGAAAAAAATGCATGTGGATATTTAGTTGATTTTGAAGACTAAAACTTCTTAAAAACACACACACAAGTGAGATCTGAAACTATAAACCCTGCCCTCCAATTTTCTTTTTCCATCAAAACAACAAAACACAAAACAAAAACTACATTTTGGAAGCAAGCAGTAACTGAGGAAATGGTTTCAGCAAATACAGTAGTTCTTCCTCCCACTTATCTGCGGGGGGATACTTTCCAAGCCCCGCAGTGGATGCTTGAAACCATGGATAGTACCAAACCCTATAGATACTATGTCTTTTTCCTATACATACATACCTGTGATAACATTTAATTTTTAAATGAGGCACAGTGAGAAACTAATAACATAGAACAATTATATCAATATACTATGATAAAAAGATGTGAATATATGTAAATCTTATGGTATTTATCTGTCTTCTTGTGACAGTGTGAGATGCTAGAATGCCTACAGGACGAGATGAAGTCAGGGGAATGACGTGGGCATGGTAACGTAGCATTAAGCTACTACTGACCTGATGATCTAGCAGACGGAAGGTCATCTGCTTCCTGACCGTTAATAACGGGATACTACTTAGTAGTAGTAGTATTACTACTAGGAAACCACAGATAAGGGGGAACAACTGTATGGAAAAATGTGAGGGACAATAACATACAAAGAGCTCTTATAAGAAAATTGGTGTCAATTTGAATAGAAAAATGGGTAAAATACAATTATGTTTAATTCCTAGAACTACAGAGGAAAAAATGATTTACTAATAAAGCTATAAAAATTTTAAAATGTTCCATTAACTTTTTTCTTTCCATTCAATTTTGGCAGGAATGAGTATAAAAAACGCACAGCTGGTCACAGCGTAGACTGGTACATCTTGTCTGGAAAGGAATGTGACAAAGTGTGTCCAAGCTCTCAAACTGATTATTCCCTTTGCTGCAGTAATTCTCAGAACTCCATTCTAGGGAAATAAAGATATAAACAAAGACTGATAAAATAATGATGTTCATCCAAACCTTATTTAAAATAGTGTAAAATTCCAAGCAAACTACACATCCCAGATTATGTATTAAATGTAGTACAATCATAGGATGGACTGTCATGCTGTCTTTTAAATATCGTTGTGAGGATATGTGACAACAGGGAAATATGCTCTTAATAACCACAAGAGAAAGAAAAAGGATATGGAAACTCTATATAGTGTGCTTTTGGCTTTGAAGAAAACAGTGCTATCTGAATATACACATGCAAATATTTGGGGGGATAGAAAAGAAGATGGAAGAAACTATATCAGAATATTGGTAGAAGTTGATCTCTGCATGGGGGGTGATGCACGAACGTTCTCTCCTTAGCCTGTGTCCCTGTTGGAAACCATCTTACCTGCATAATCCTCGGTACCATAGTCATCGGTGGGGTCTTCTACTCGGCTATAGCGGACACGTTCTACTTTAGGAAACTCATTGGTTGGTGAGTACGGCTGCACGGAGGTGCCATAGAGGACCAAAGACCATTCTTTCAATTTCCCTTGAAAAATAATGAAATGATAGCATGACTACACATTCACTTTTGAGCTTTACAATTTAATTCCTTCTCATTAAGAAAAAGCAACAGAAGAATTGTGGCAAGCATATTCATATGAATCAGCATGAGGTGCATAGCTAGAAATGTACATTTTCCACCAGTTGAAGAATTAACTAATAATTGACATATCACATATTTACTGAGCACCAACTATAGGATAAGCCTTAATTAGCTTTCATAAGAAGACTGAGAAATGAACACCTCTCAGATAGCTGGACCAAGGGCTGAATTTCAAATTATGGATATTTTAAAAGAGAACCCCAGAATTTTACAGAGGCCTTTGCTTTTCTACATATAAATACCATATTTGAATTTTAAAAAAAAATTTGGTGTTATCTGACTTGTTTATCAGTAAGACAAAACAACTACTTTGTTCCACCTAACTGAATTAGTCATTTAGTCTTAGGAATACATCACTATTTATACTATGCTATAGACCTGAGCTGTCCAGTGATAGCCCCTAGATATTTGGCTATTTAAAATTTAGTTCCTCAGTCATACCACATTTCAAGTGCTCAACAGCCATATGTGGGCAGTGGTCACTACAATGGTTACCACAAATATAGAGTGTTTCTACCACGGCAGAATGTTCGAGTGGACAGTGTTGCAATAAAGCTTTGTCTGGTCAAGAGTGCCTTGAGTGAGACAGGAGCCACGTGTTTTAACTCCTTTGCAGAGAAGGTTCTCAAAGAACATTTTGCTTTAGTCCTTATTTCTTTTTGTGTTAATAAAGCTAAGAAAAACTTCTTACAGGTCACTAAGCTTAATAAGATTCACATAAAGAATCAACCATAAGCAGAAGTGATTAAGACAAAACCATTAAAGACATGGAAGTATGCTGGCAGGAAGCAGAACCTTCCTGAAGGTCCCTCCTCCACTTAGCCGAATACAGAGAATCCAGGCATGGTTGGAGCCAGGGTTCTGTCACAGCCCTGAGAGTGGTGACCTTGAGGTGTCAGCTGATCTATTAAGTTTGAATCCATTCAATGTTCACAACAATTGGGAGGTAGGCCCTTGAATTCCCAATATACAGATGAGGAAACAGGCATAGAGGGTGATAATTTTCTCAAAGGCACTAAGAGTACAGACTGCTATTAAAATCCATCTGGGGGTTCCAGTTTAAGATGACAGTGTAGGAAGATCCTGAACCCACCTCTTCCTACAGGTACATAGGGGACAAGTTCCTCTGAACAAGAAAACAAAACCAATAGGCTGAGTGGCTCCTACGCAATAGGCAAACAAAAAACCCACAGGAAAGCAGGTAAAAGAGGCCGAGACACAATATTGCAATAAACCCCACCCCTGGCACTGTGACCCACAATCAGGACTCATGACCCCAAAGTTTCTCCCCAAGAAGCAAAAGGTTTGAACCCCATACTGGGCACCACAATTTTTAAGACCTGCGCCTGAGATGAGTCCCCGAAACATCTAGCTTTGAAAACGAATAGGGCCTGAGACCCACAAGGCTATAGTGAACTGACTAAAGAGCTTGCATGTGTGGACCCACCCACTCCAAGGCTCAGGGCAGAGGCAGCCAATTGAAAAGCATGGACTTTCTGTGAAAGAGGCTTATTTGCTTACCGTAACATACAGCAAGGGGCCTACTGAAATACTCTCCAGTGGGCACCATATCTGCTCTCTCCCTCAGTCTTGCTCCAACTCACTAGTATCTCCCAGAAGGAACCTGTTCTCTTATCTGGGACCCCAATTTTTATGGCTGCCTCTCAGGGCACACCTCCTGGTTGCTGGCACTGGTGGCTGGCAGGGCACAGGACTGTAACAAAATTGACAGATCTATACTTAAGGTCACCTAGGAGAGAATCAAAATCAGAAATGAAAGAAGAAGGGGGCGACTAGGTGGCTCAGTGGATTAAGCATCCAACTCTTGATTTCAGCTCAGGTCATGATCTCAGGGTGGTGAGATCGAGCCCCACTTTGGGCTTCATGCTGAGCATGGAGCTTAAGATTCTCTCCCTCTGTCTCACCCCCAGCTCATACACACTCTCTCTCAAAAAAAAAAAAAAAAGAGGTGAGGTTATAACTAAAATAAGAATAAAAACCATGAAAATAGGGGCGCCTGGGTGGCTCAGTTGTTAAGCGTCTGCCTTCGGCTCAGTTCATGATCCCAGGGTCCTGGGATCAAGCCCCGCATTGGGATCCCTGCTCAGTGGGAAGTCTGTGTCTCCCTCTCCTACTCTCCCTGCTTGTGTTCCCTCTCTCACTGTGTCTCTCTCTCTGTCAAATAAATAAAATCTTAAAAAAAAAAACTATGAAAATATAAAGTATTATAAAAGACTATCATCAATTACACACCAACAAAATGAACAACCTGGAAGAAAATGGATAAATTTTTAGACCTATACAACCCACTAAGACTGAATCATTAAGAAACAGAAAATCTGAAAAGAACAATTACTAGTAAAGAGATGGAATCAGTAATAAAAAAAAGAAAACCCTCTTGACAAAGAAATGACCAGAACTATATCTTCTCTGGTCAATTCTACCAAATATTTAAAGGAATACCAGTCCTTCTTAAACTCTTCCAAAATATAGAAGAAACATTTCCAAACTCATTTTATGAGGCTAGCTAGCATTACCCTGATCCCAAAACCAGATAAGGATGCCACAAGAAAATCCCTGATGAACACAGATGCAAAAGTCCTCAACAAAAAAATTAGCAAACTGAATTCAACAATATTAAAGGGATCGTATATCATCAAGTGAGATTTATTCCAGGGATGCAAGAATGTTTCAACATTCACAAACCAATCAATGTGATTCACAACATTAAGAAAATTAAGGATAAAAATCATATGATCACCTCAACACATACAGAAAAAGTATTAACCTACTTCAACATCTATGATAAAAGCTTTTATCGAAGTGTGTATGGGGGAATAATAAGCATCATAAAGATCAGGAACAAGACACCACTTTTAAGAGTCTCATGCTCTACCGACTGAGCTAGCCGGGCGCCTGACACTCACCACTTTTAGTCAACATAGTATTAGAAGTCCTAGCCAGAATAATTAGACAAGAAAAAGAAAGGGCATTCAAATTAGGAAGAAGTATGTCACTATTTGCACATGACATGGTACTGTGTATGAAAAACCACAGAGGTGCCACCAAAAACTGTTAGAACTAATCAACAAATTCACAAAGGCTGTAGGATACAAAATCTTTTGCATGTCTATACACTAATAATGAACTATCAAAAAGAGAAAGAAAATCTTATTTATAATTGCATCAAAAAGAATAAAATGCTTAGGAATTTAACCAAGGGGGTAAAAGACCTGTACACTGAAAATTATAACCCACATGATGAAAAAACAAATAAATGGAAAGATATTCTGTGCTCATGGATGAGAAGAATATTGTTAAAATGTCCATGCTACCCAAAGCCACCTATAGATTCAATGTAATCCCTATCAAAATTCCAATGTCATTTTTTGTATAAATAGTACAAACAATCCTAAAATTTTTATGAAACCACAAAAGGCCAAATCACTCTTGAGAAAGAAAAATGAAGCTGGAGGCATCATGCTTTCTGATTTTCAAATATAAAGCTATGGTAATCAAAACACTATGGCTTTGCCATAAAACAGACACAAAGATCAATAGAACAGAATAGCACACAGATATAAACTCATGCATATATGGTCAATTAAGAATACACAATGGGGAAAGGATTTTAATAAATGATGTTGGGAAAACCGGACAGCCACGTGCAAAATAATGAAACTGAACCACTGTCTTACATCAGACACAAAAACTAACTCAAAATGGAGGCGCCTAGATGGCTCAGTCAGTTAAGCATCTGCTTTTGGCTCAGGTCATGATCCCAGGGTCCTGCTCAGCATGGAGTCTGTTTGTCCCTCTCCCTCTGCTCCTCCCTCCCACTCATGCTCACTCTCTCTTTCTCTCAAATAAAATCTTAAAAAAAAAAAAAGAAACTCTAAATGGATTAATGATTTGAACATAAGACCTGAAACCATAAAACTCTTAGAAGAAAACATAGGTGGTAAGCTCTTTGCCATCGGTCTTGGTGATAATTTTTTCAAATTTGACCAAATGCAAAGGCAACAAAAGGAAATTAAGTCAGAGTATATCAAACTAAAAAGCTCCGTACGGCGATGGAAACCATCAACGAGATGGAAAAGCAACCAACCTACTGAATGGGAGAGAATATGTGCAAATCATATATCTCATAAGAGGTTAATATCCAAAACATATAAAGAACTCCTACAACTCAATATCAGAAAAATAATCTGATTAAAACATGGGTAGGGAATATGAATAGACATTTTTCCAAAAATGACATATATGTGGCCAAGAGGTATGTGAAAAGGTGGTCAACATCACCAATTAGGGAAATGCAAATCAAACCGCAATATCACCTTACACCTATTAGAACAGCTATTACCAAAAAGACAAGAAATAGCAAGTGTTAGTGGAGATGTGGAGCAAAGGGAACCCTTGTGCACTCGCAGTGGGAATGTGAATCAGTGCAGCTGTGATGGAAACCGCTATGGAGGTTTTTCAAAACATTAACAATAGAACCACCATGTGATTCAGCTACTCCACTTCTGGGTATTTATCTGAAGAAAATGAAAGCATTGACTTGTAAAAGTATATGTATTCCCATGTTCAATGCAGCATTATTCACAATAGCCAAGATATGGAAACAACCTATGTGTCCATTGATGGATAAATAATAAAAATGTGGTATTTTTTACCAGTGGTAATAATACAGTAGAATAATATTCAGCCATAGAAAGGAAGGAAATATTGCCATTTGTGAAAATATGGATGGATCTTGAGAGCCTTTTGTGAATTGAAAAGTAAAAGACAAAAACTATATGATCTCACTTGTATGATGAATTTAAAAAAAAATAATGAAGTAAAAAAAAAAACCCTGAGCTCATAAATACAGAGAAGAAATT